CCCACCCATCAGCCCCCAAGAGCAACGTCCACCCCCTTGACCCAGGCACTGTGGGCTGCCATCTGTGTGGCCACAGTCTGCAGAGTCCTGGATCCCGGCAGGACCCGCCCACTCCTAAACAGTTTCCAGCATCCAGGCAGGAGCTTCCCCAGTCAGCACTGGGGAGATCCTGGCCGGCAGAGACCGCTGGGGGCATCACAGACTCGCCAAGGCCAGACTTGCAGCGCAGGGCAGACAGGAGAGCCAGGCTGGAGTGGTGTGTCCTGTGCTGCAGTGCCACCCCTGGGGCTGTTCCTGTCCCCTGGCGCTGGGTGGCTGACCCCCATCCCACTCCAGCCAGAAGAGGTTGGGGTCGCTCAGAGCAACCACCCCTCCCTCTGAGAGCGATAGCGTCTCTCAGGACTCTGGCTGGAGCCACACCTCTCTCCAAGAGGCTGGCAACCCATTTTTATTCCGGGGGGTACCTGTGTCTGTTACACACAGCAGGGGGGTTCTGCCAGACCATCTTGCCATCACCACCCCCTGGGACTGTTTGAGAGACTCTCGGGCTTCTTCAGCAAATATTTCCTTATTTATTTGTTTGTTTTTGACTCGGGGTCTCACTCTGTGGCCCAGGCTGGAGTGCAGTGGCATGCTCATGGCCACCACAGCCTCGGCCTGCTGGGCTCAGGTGATCCTTCTGCCTCAGTCTCTCAAGTATCTGGGACTACAGGGGCCACCACATCTGGCCTTTGCTTTGTTGTGTTTGTAGAGACGAGGTCTCACTGTGTTGCCCAGGTCTGGAACCCCTGGCCTCAAGCAATCCTCCTGCCTCGGTTTCCCTAGGTGCTGGGATTACAGGCCTGAGCCACCATGTCTGGCCTATTTTTCTTTGCTTCTTTGAATAGTTACTTTATTCTCACGATCCATAAAGTCTAAGATGTGAGTGGGTGTGTCTTGAGAAAAGTCTCCCACGCACCCTGCCAGCCAGTCCCCCCCCCAGAGAGGCTGCCACCTGTCCCTCGGGTCCCCCCAGGAAGAGCTGGATGCGGGGACCCCTCTCTTCCCTCTTCCCTTGGGAAGTGCCCCTGCCCCAGTGTGGCATCTGTCGGGACATCCCGGCTGCTGACGCCTCTCCGTCCTGGCCCTGCTCTCCCAGGACACGGTCTCCGTCCACCGCCCCAGCTTCTATGCCGAGCGCTTCTTCAAGTTCATGAGCAACACGGTCTTCCGGAAGAACTCCTGTAAGCCAAGGCCCATGGCGGGAAGGATTCGGGAGGCCGAGAGCTGGGAGGGGGTGCGAGCCCTGAACCTGTGTCCCACCTGAAGCCGGGACCTCACCCAGAGAGCAGGGGGCCAGGGCGTGTGGCCCACACAAGGGTGCAGCACACAGGGGCTGCAGCACCGGCCCCACCCAGCCCCCTGTTGTGTGGCCGTGAGCACACAGCTTCCCTCGGTGCCTCGGTTTCCCCAGCTGCACGGAGTTGTGAGGTGCAGTGTGTTCATCCTGGGGCTGGTGGCCCTGGCCAGGCGGCAGCTCCCAGCCTTGGAGCTGCCCACAGCATTGCCGTTGCCAAGGAAACATGTCCTGGGCCAGGCACTGGGGAGGCCGGTCAGAGGGCGGAAGTGGCGTGGAATCCAGGACTCGGGGTGCACCCGGAGGGTGCTTGGAGGCATTCAGGTCTGCTTAGGGCCTCAGTGTCCCCTCATGGGACCCTCTGGCATCCTGGGCCCCAGTGCAGACTCCAGCTGGTGTCCCGTACTGCCAAATGGGCTCTCCTGGGGGTCTGCTGTCTGCCCTCCCCACCTGGAGCTCCCCAGCCAGTTTGCTTTATCCCTGGCTTCCTCACAGGCCTAGCACACAGAGTTCTGGGTGTGCATCATGGTGGTGTCTGCCTCATCTGTGTGTGCACACCGCAGGGGTCGCCCCAGGAGGCGGCAGGGCGAGGCATGCCCAAACCCGCACTTCAGACGGGCCACCCCTAGCCTGGCCAGTGAGAGCCAGCCTGACCCGTTCCCATGTCTGCCAGGGACGCCCCTCAGTGTCTGCACCGCAGGAACTGGCAGACCCACACACGGGCCGCAGCTCCCACAGCCGTCCCCGAGACTTCCAGCACATGCACCCTGGAACACTGTGGCATCACCCCACAGCCTTCCGCGCCTGAAGGAGGCGGCGCTGGGCAGACCGAGCGCCAGCCATCTACCAGGAGCTGGGCTGGGCCATGGTGGGGCAGAGGTCACCGAAAGCTCCAGAGACCGCCTGGGGGAGCTCGCGGCCCACCAGGCCCTCCTACCCCTACAGCCCAGAGAACCTGGCCATGCCTAGACCACGCAGCCAGCAGGGCAGAGCATGGATCTGGGCTCAGGCCCTTCCTCACTGACCCCCTGGCCTCTCTGACACCAGTGCCCGCTGCTGGCATCCGGGTCCATCTGAAGGCGAGGTGCTGCCCAGGCTGCATCACGAGGGAGGGTGGCATTCCTGGCAAGTTCCGCGGCAGCTCCTGTGGCCATGTCCCTGGAGGGCACGCAGCGCTAGGCCCAGGCATCTCGTAGAGACAGTGGGCAGGCAGGTCAGACACCCGGGCTTGAGGCAGAGTGGCCTCGACAGAGTGGCTCCGCAGCTTGCCCTCCTCAGGGACAGGCAGGGGCCCATCAGCCCCGAACGTGGGTGCCTCAGGCGGGCACAGACCAGGCTCGTGTGTGCGGGAGGAGTGGGAAGCCGGGCCCTGCCTGGCTTTGCCCCGCTGCTGACGCCTACCCTCCCCTGCAGCCCTGAAGTCCTCGCCATCCCGGAAGGGACGCGGGGCCCTGCTGGCCGTCAAACCGCTGGGGCCCACGGCCGCCTTCTCCGCCAGCCAGATCCCTAGCGAGCGCGAGGACGCACAGTATGACCTGCGGGGGGCCCGCAGCTACCCCACGCTGGAGGACGAGGGTGAGCAGGGACCGCGGGCACGTGGGGCCGAGGGGACTGGCACAGATGGTGGGGGGAGGAGCCTACAGGGGCCCGAGGCTGGGTGTGTCCTCAGGGGAAGGAGTCCCCGATCTCTTCTGTCATGGTCACCTGCAGAACCACCGGCCGCCAGGGAGGGGGAGCCAGGCACAGAACCCACCACCCCGAGGTGGCAGCCTCCCGTCATGGCCACTGTCACCAGAGGCATGCAGCAATGTCACAGAGGGGAGGTGGGGCTGGCCTTCGTGTACCAGCAGGCCCCTCTGAGCCCTGGGATCAGGGACTGCAGGCAGGGAGGGGGGGTTGCCGGACAGAAGAGGAGCAGCAAGTGCAAAGGCCCAGAGGCAGGACCCTACCTGGGGGTCGCAATGATGGGGGCGGGCCAGGCAGACCCTCTGGACTGCGTAGAGATCTGGATTCCATTTTGAGGGCAGTAGGAAGCTGCTGGAAGCCTCTGTGCATAGAGAGATTCACCTTTTCAAAAGTCGTGTGGGAGGACGATGCTGGGGGGTGGGTGGGAGCCTCCAGATGCCGACTGGGCGCCAGGGAGGAGCCCAGCCTGGCCGCTCTGCCAGGTGTCCGCGGCCCACACCCCACAGGCCGGCCCGACCTCCTGCCCTGCACGCCGCCTTCTTTTGAAGAAGCCACTACAGCTTCCATCGCCACCACCCTGTCGTCCACCTCCCTCTCCATCCCCGAGCGGTCCCCCTCAGAGACGTCAGAGCAGCCGCGGTACAGGTGGGCGGGGCAGTGCGGGTGGGCGGGGCCTCCACCGTAAAGGTGGGCGGGGCGGTGGGCGGGGCGTCTGCGGTAGTGGGCAGGGCAGTGTAGGTGAGGGCGCAACATGAGTGGGCGGGTCCGCCGTAGTGCGCGCGGGTCGGGCAGCGCGGGTGGGCGGGTGTCGGTGATACAGGTGGGCAGAGCAGGCAGACGGCCGCTTTCCCGCTGCCTGCCGTTCTCTGGTCACCTGTTTATGGTCTCCCTGCAGGCGGCGCACCCAGTCGTCCGGACAGGATGGCAGGTGAGACCCCACCCCCTCGCCTCGCCTCCTCTCGCCTCAGTCTCCCGAGCTGTCCTGAGCAGCTTCGGGCTCCCATGCCCCCAGGGCCCCTTCCTCTCCCACTGTGCTCTCCTGGGGACAAGCCCTAAGCTCTAGAATCTCTGTGTCGCCTCTTGTTTTTCTAGCACGATGGGGCCCAGAGGGCCCAGGGCAGCTGGGCCTGTTGATCCTCCTTCTAGTTTCCCTTTTTCTTTATTGTGGCTTTAAGGGGCTCAAACGGTTTTGGCTACGTGCTGGCATTCTGGAGTGGCGAAGGAGTCTGGGCTTTAAGCGTCCCACCAGCCCCACCTGCGCACGTGGCACGCGACGCGTGATCTTTCACCCTTCCCCCGCCCCCGAGTCTCCCGTGTCCATGGCTCCACCCTCCGTGCCCCCGCAGAGCCTCGGCTTGGCTCCCACTTGGCACGCGCTGTCTGCTCTTCTGTCCCTGCGCTCCTTTGCTTAAGACGCCCGTTCTCTAGTTCCATCCAAGTTGCTGCAAGCGACATTATTTCCTTCGTTGTAATGGCTGAGTGACATTTCACAGTACACGTGGACCACACTTTCTTTCTTTTCGTTTCTTTTTTTTTTTGAGACGGAGTCTCACTCTGTCACCCAGACTGGAGTGTTGAAGGGTAGTGGCCGCTCCCAGCCACTGCAGCCTCGACCTGCTGGGCTCCTGCATTCCTTCCACCTCAGCCTTCCGAGTAGCCAGAACTACAGGCATGCGCTACCACGCATGGCTAGTTTTTTTAATTTGTTGTAGAGACAAGGTCTCGCCAAGTTGCCCGGGTGGGTCTCGAACCCGTGGGTTCAGGCAGTCCTCTCGCCTCAGCCTCCCAAAGTGCTGGGATTACAGGCTGAACCACTGAGCCCGGCTTACACAAAGAAATTTAAAGTGGATTACCTGAGCCCACGGGTTCGTGACCCGCCTGGGCAACTTGGTGAGACCTCATCTCTACAATAAATCAAAATGAGCCGGGCGTGGTAGCGCGCGCCTATAGTTCCAACTACTCGGAAGGCTGAGGCGGAAGGATCGCCGGAGCCCAGCAGGTTGAGGCTGCGGTGGCCGGGAGCAGCCACTGCACTCCAGCCTGGGCGACAGAGTGAGACTCCGACTCAAAAAAAAAAAAAAAAGAAATGTAAAAAGGAGGAAACATCTGGTGATGCCTCCCTCCTGCCTGTGCCTCTGCCCTCCCAGGAGCAACCACTGGGCCTGTGGGTTTGTCTCTTCCTAGAGTTGCCTTGTGGGAACACGGACGTGCACCCAGGCTGGGCCCTTTTATTTTGACACAAAAGTGTCACGCCGCCGTCCCTTGCCACTTGGCAGAGCCCTCTGCCATGCTGTCCCCACTGCCTGCTGTTCCCTGCCTCCTATGGCCGTGCCTGGTCACATAGCCGACCCCTCCGGGGCCACGTGGGTGGGTGGCTCCAGGCGGGGCCCTCGTCACACCAGGGCCACGGATGTGCTGTTCCAGTCATCGAACTTCCGTCCTTCCTGCCTGATAGAGCCCTGCCAGTGCTCACCCAGGGGGAGCAAGTCTCCTTCTGTCCGGCTTCCTCGCTCCAGCTGGGCAGCCTTCCTGTTTCTGGGGTTGCGAGCCAGAGCGTGGAGCCCCCTGCTCAGGGCCCGCTGCTGGGTTCAGGCACTCCCAGGAGGGTGGGTGGGATTCTCGGCCGCTGTTTACTCAGTACTATACACCCCCGGGGCCAGCCATGCCCCAGGCCCTGCAGGCACCAGGCACAAGAGAGACCAGGGACAGCCCTTGTTCCCACACAGCTCCTGGCCAGACGTGGCAGCCCGAGGGACCAGGCCCTGGCTAGAGCCCTCCCGGCTCCCCGTGGGGTCGAGACCTGGAGCTCCCTGGGCTCCCCTGGGGGCATGAGGGGGGAAACTGAGACCCAGCTTCCCATTCTACCCAGGCCACAGGAGCAGCCCCACGTAGAAGAGGACCTGCAGCAAATCACTGTGCAGGTGGAGCCTGCGTGTAGTGTGGAGATCGTGGTCCCCAAGGAGGACGCAGGGTGAGTGCGGCCCGGGGATCAGCAGCGCCAAGAGCTCACCACAAGCAGTGGTGCGCACAGGCCAACAGGCTCACAGGGCATTCACGTGGGGCCTCAGTCTCCTGGTCAAAGGCAGCGGGTCGCACCCAGCGGGGGCGAGAGTCGGACCCTGGGATCCCGGGCGACATCTTGGGACATATGTGGCGTCACGCCAGGGGTGGTTTTGGCGTCTGGCATAGGGGGAGAGGAGGCCAAGACGCTCACCAGGTCCCTGGAGTGTGGGTGGGCGGGGCAGTGTGGGTGGGTGGGTGGGGCATCTGGTATTAGTGGGCAGAGAACAATAGCGGGGGAGCCCTGGGCCAGGACTTCTTCGGGAGTCTCTGAACTTCAACTATCTAAGGACGACGTTGTTCACTTTTTCGGTATTTACTTTTCATTTTATTTTATTTATTTATTTATTTTTATTTTTTATTTTATTTTAAAGTTTTATTTTTTGAGTTGGAGTCTCACTCTATTGCCCAGACTGGAATGTAGTGCTCACTTCTGGCCACCGCAGCCTCGACCTGCTGGGCTCCGGTGATCCTTCCGCCTCAGCCTTCCAAGTAGCTGGAACCACAGGCGCGCGCTACCACGCCCGGCTAATTTTTGATTTATTGTAGAGATGAGATCTCGTCAAGTTGCCCAGGCGGGTCTTGAACCCGCGGGCTCAGGCAATCCACTCACCTCGGTCTCCCAAAGTGCTGGGATTACAGGCAGAGCCACCGAGCCCGGCCTACTTTTCATTTTATTAAATTTTTATTTGAAGAGAGTAGCCTTTTAAAAAGTCTGGGCACTTTTTTTTTTTTTTAGTCAGGGTTTCTGGAGTGCAGTGGCACTATCACCGACTCACCGCAGCCTCCATTTCCTGGGCTAAAGGCATGCTCCCACTTCAGCCTCCAGAGGAGCGGGGAATACAGGCGTGCACCACCACACCCAACTAATTTTTTGATTTTTTTGTGTAGATGCGAGGTTTCACTATGTTGCCTGGGCTGATATAGAACTCCTGGGCTCAAGAATCCTCCTACCTCAGCCTTCCAGAGTGTTGGAATTACAGGCGTGAGCCACTGTGCCTGGCCATATGCTTTTTTTTCCTTGAGTCGGAGTCTCACTCCATCGTCCAGCTGGAATGCAGTGGCACACTCACGGCCACCACAGCCTCGACCTGTTGGGCTCAGGTGATCCTTCTGTCTCAGCCTTCCTAGTAGTTGGAACTACATGCGGGTGCTACCACGCCCAACTAATTTTTTTTTTTTTTTTAATTGTAGAGACAAGGTCTCACCAAGTTGCCTGGGCTGGTCTTGAACACACGGGCTCAGGCAATCCCCTCACCTCGGCCTCCCAAAGTGCTGGGATTACAGTTGAGCCTCTGTGCCCAGCCCATATGCTTTTTTATTGTGTGGGGGTTTTTTTGTTTGTTTGTTTGTTTTTGAGTCGGAGTCTCACTCTGTCGCCCAAACTGGAGTGCAGTGGCCGCTCCCAGCCACCGCGGCCTCGACCCGCTGGGCTCCGGCGATCCTTCTGCCTCAGTCTTCCGAGTAGCCGGAACTACAGGCATGCGCTGCCATGCCTGGCTAATTTTTTGATTTATTGTAGAGGTCTGGCCAAGTTGCCCAGGCTGATCTCGAACCTGCGGGCTCAGGCAATCCTCTCACCTCGGCCTCCCAAAGTGCTGGGATGACAGGCTTGAGCCACTGTACCAGCCCATCTGCTTTTTAAAAACTAGATTAAAGTGTCCATGATCAGGTACAAGACCTGCTTTTTCAAATGGCCATGGACACAGGGAAGGACGATATTCTTGGTGAAGGGATGGAACGTTCCCTGCGAGCCTGTCTCGGGCAGTGTCTGTGCTGTTGTCACTCAGTGCCTCTGTGTCTTTGTCACCTGTTTGGCATGTGACGCTGTCATCATGTGGCTACCAGGTCCTCCTTGTCCCTCCAGTGATTTCTGTTTGAGATGCGTTTTGATTTCCGTCACGCGTTCCCCTCGGCCCTGTCAGTACGGCTCCCAGGCCCCACTCTGCACTGAGAGCTGGTTTCACTCACGGGTTTCTGCCGTCTCAGCTGAGTCTCCCAGTGTGGAATCTCAGTTTTTGCCAAAAGCAACCGACCCTCAGACGTGACAGGAGAACAATTTCTCTGCGGCATTCAAAAGATGACAATTACACATTCAGCCCCCGCCATGCAAAATTTAAAAATGAGCCGGGCCTGGTGGCACCTCTAGTCTCAGCTACTCAGGAGGCTGAGGTGGAAGGATCGCCTGAGCCCAGGAGTCGGAGGCTGCAAGGGGCTATGATCACACCACTGCACTGCAGCCTGGATGACACAGCCAGATCCTGTCTCCCAAAAAACAAAACAAAGCAAAAAAACCACACCAACCACTTGGCCACGAGCCCTGGCCTTAGACACCTCCTCTCTGTGCCTCAGTTTCCTCTTCTGTAACCCAGGGAGAGCAGCAATGTCAACATCTTCTCCCCACCCCACGGTGGAGATTCGGTGGGTTAATTCACAGAAAGTTCTAGAACCAGTTTGGTATGTGGTAAATGCTCAGCGAACAGGTAATTGAGGTTCTGACCCTGTGGGTAGGAACCATGTGTCCCCACTCTACAGATGAGGAAACAGGCTCGGAGAAGGAGCGTGACCCCAGGTTGCCCAAGCTGGCAGGTCTCGGAGGTTGCGTCTGGGCATTCTCAGGCATTCTGCCTTGGTGCTGGTGGCCACGGCGCATCGCCTGCGCCTGTGTCTGGTCTCGATGTGCTGCCATGGAGTGACGCACAGCCAGCCCCTCCTGCATCCCAGGAGGGTTGGGGGGGGCGGGAACTGTGGGCCCCCCTGGACTCCTGTCTGCTGTGCCCAGGGCGGAGGCCCCCTCAGCTGGCGCCTCGGCCGCGGTCGAAGCGGAAACGACCAGCCAGGCCTCGGAGCCCGCCAGCCAGGCCTCGGATGAGGAGGACGCGCCCGCCACCGACATCTACTTCGTAAGTCCCCGGGCTCCTCCTCCATCAGCCAGGCCCACACGCACCCGCTCCCGCCATGCGCACACACACCTGCAGACTCGGGCCCAGGCGTGTGCGCCATCCACATGCCCTCCCGACACTCACACAGCCCCGGTCTCTTTCTGGTCCAGTCCCACACGGCAGGAGGTTCCTGCCGCCACACCCAGGAACCGGAGCCATCCCTTGCCCCTCCCAGCCTCATGACTGTGGTCCAGCACCCTTCAAGGCCTTGACCCCAACCTCGCCACCCCGTCTCTCTGGGACGCTTCCAGATCCTCACACCTGGGCCTCGTGTCCTTGGCAGTCTGGTCAGCCTGGCTGGGCCACTGGTGACCGGGTCCTTCTTCCTCTGATGGCGGGCGGGCATGGCTGGGATGGTTCCCTCTCCATCCTGAAGAGGGCTGGGGGACCACGCTGCTGGCCGGGGACACGCTGTCCTCAGACGAGGCTGGGTCTGTGGTCCTCGACCTGGGAGCTCTTGCCCTCACCGGGCCTGACGTCCAGGCTGGCCTCCCCACCAGCAGGTCCCAGGTAGCCCAGGGGCCCCGCTCGTGTCAGACAGCCCAGGTAGCAGGCCAAAGGCTGCAGCCCCCACCCTCCGGCTGTCCTCCCTCATCCCCACACATCACGGTGGGTTGGGGACACCAGCCACGGCTCTTGTTCACTGACATCCCCTGCTGTGTCCCAGCTGGTGTGTGTGTCTCCTGTGCCCCCTGGGCCTGGAGTCGGGAGGTGTGGGCTGTGCCCCGTCCTGGGCTCAGCGTGTGTGCCCTGGTTTCCGGATGGCGTGGCCGCTTGGGCTGTGGCCCGACACTGGGTGGGGCCATGGGGAGGGAGCAGGCCTCAGTCAGACCCGCCCGCACGCCCCACCTGCTTGGCCATCTGTCCCCACCCGCTGTCCCCCCTCATCCTGTCCTCTGTCTCCTTCTCCTCCCGCGGCCCGCCCGCCCGGCCAGTTTGCGGATGGGAGGTACTGGATTTTCTCACCCCGCCATCACC